CGGTGTTCCTCCTGAACTGGGCCAGGAGACTCTGAAAGCTGAGACAGAATTTCAAAATCTGGCCCTGATCAAAGGTAAACTTGTCTGAACTCGTCTCTAAAAAACAATGGTGCATTTTTATCACTGACCTGTAATAATTAGATACAGTGTTTTTGTGATCTGGCAGGTAACATGCCTCCCATAGTGACACAGCCCACAGTGATCCGCTCTCAGGTCAAATCCCAGGTCAGCGTTCAGATCATCGCTGAGGATGCCAACAGAGACAACATCACTTATTCGCTGCTCTTACCCAGGCCTCCCCAAGCTTCGATCAACAGCGGTGAGATACCTACTCAGACTCTCCGTAACGTCAACAGATGACATGTTGACATTTGTTAGAGGGATGGAGAGGCTGCCGCTGTAGCCGGCAGTGCAGTCTGTCAGCAGATGGGACATTTCAGAGCTGAGTCAGTAGACTGTAATGCTGAGAGTGACGAGCACAAGACACAAAATACACAAAACATGAAAAAATATGAAATGCTGTTTCAGTGATGTAGGTGTTTACAGCCTCTTGTGTTCTCTCCTGTCCAGGTAATGGCTACCTGACTTGGACCCCTCTAAGCACCCAGCCTGTCCAGCTGAGCATCAAGGTCAGTGACAAACTGGGCAGCTCCCTCTTCACTCCCATCCTGCGTGTCTGCAACTGCCTCAACGGAGGAACGTGCCAGTATGACAGCATCACTGAAAACCATCTGCAGGGAAAGTTTCAGGTGCTCTATTGTCTCAGTTGAGCTGACACTTTCATCTAACTGCAGCATTTCTTGTCATGGCATTCATGATTTCTGTTTACAAAATTGCAGCTTTGTGCCAGTGTCAACCTTGAACAGCGATAAGCAGGTGTAACTGAAGATGATGTAGCGGCAGCCCTGACAAGAACTCTAGTATACTGAATGTTAATCATCCCTAAAAGAACAAAATATATGTATTTATATCCTCCTACTCTTTGATTAGGAGGTGTTACAACACAGGCAACTGTAGCCAGTGTTGCCAACTTAGCAACTTTGTCACTATATTTTGTCACTATGTTTTTAGACCCCCTTAGCAACTAGCAACAAATCTGGCTACTTTTTCTGGTGTTATTGGAGACTTATTTATGACGACCTTTTGACGTGAAAGTGCGTATCGCTCTTCTCAACAAGCAGCGGTGCTGCCGTGGGCACCTCACCCGTGCCAAAGCGCTCACGGGCAGAGGATAGTCCTCCCCCAGCTGCTATGAGGGCAGGAGATGTTCACACCTGTGGGTCCAAACTGCAAATGAATCGCGCATGAGCGAAGCCGCTGTAAAAGAAAACGCAGTCAGTTCTTTTACTGTTATGCCGTTTTGTGGATCACAAGGTTTAAAACTGCTTATAAACGCACACACACACAAAGTAACTCCACCAGAGTGCCTTTTTCAGGTAACTTTTGCCGGTGGAAGCCTGGATAAAGGAGCAGGGTTGGAATTGTTACATTAAAAAAACAATAATTACTAAAAGACATTTAATTTGTAGTTCTAAATAATTCTAAATGCATTTAGGATGTTTTTTATTCACTTTATGTCTCTTCCATGACGTTATTTTTCTCTCCTACAACGTAGGTTACAATTACATTAGCATGACCAACTATGCAAATTAGGCGATGATGTCATTTAGCAACTTCTAGTGACTTTTAGGACAACCAATAGTGATTTTCCTTACTGAGGACTTGGCAACACTGACTGTAGCTAATAGCTGTCTGTTAATACCTTTGCTAACTTAAGTCACTCAACTGGACACTTCAACTATGTTTCTGCTGTTAATGCCTTTTAGCATTATTAACTGACCAAAAACATGGCTTGATGTTTGATACAGACTCTCCAAAAGTTAGTGCTTGGGTTTCTAAACTGTTTAACAGGAATTTGGACCTGTGCAATAGAGGCATACACTTTATGGAGCGTGCTAACCATGCTCGCTAACCATGCTCACTAGTTAGCTGATAGCTTAGCACTACACTCTCTTCTAGGTTGTTTTTTCCCTGAAAAGACTAAATACCTCCTTCAAAATGTCCAGTCCAGTCCTGAAACCAGTGGGCAACCTCACAGTGGCCACAACTGTGTTTTATTTACAGTCTGTGGTTTGGACCTTCTTAAGGAAAGGGCAACCAATCTGAAGAAAGTTAGTTTGTTGAAAGGGAGGGCAGCTTTGTGGTGAAATAGGAACGCTATGTGTGATCTACAATGTGCCTAACCTTCCAGGTGGTGGGGTGTCTGTGTCCAACGGGATTCAGTGGGAAATTCTGTGAGAACACTACAGATTTATGTCGAGGCGAGCCCTGCTTCCGAGGAATGCAGTGCCGATCAGAGTCTGGCCAGTTCACCTGTGGTGAATGTCCTGATAACACTTTCGCTAATGGGAAAAAAGGATACAAGTGCTTTGAAAGTAGTATGTAGATTTTTTTTTACTTGTCAACACATTATCACCTTCTAAAAACCACCATGACTGACCCCATAATTTCACCCTGCACCTTCCTTTTCCCAGACATGTGCATCCCTCCTTTTCCCTTCCCCTGCCACAAATATGCTTATTGCAACAGCACAAAACAGAACTACACCTGCACATGTATGGAAGGCTTTAATGGAGATGGACACAACTGCACAGGTAGTGAGCACTCAGCACTCGAGCATGAATAATAATGCAGCTTTTTAAAACGTCTTCACTTCATTCTTTGTGTCTGTATTATAGATGAAGACGAGTGCGTGGATTTTCTGAACTGTCAAAATGCCAAGTATGAGTGTAAGAACAAGCTTGGCACCTATGAATGCATCTGCAGATATAAAAACTCCAAGGATGATAAAGGATGTGGTACGTTCACCCTCACATGTAGTGGACTATTGTGGCAGTCAAAGTCTAAATGTCCATAAATGCATTAGAGTGAGTCAGATGACAGTTTGCAGATACTCATGTAGCTCTAGACAGGTGTGTAATTTGTCAGTTGTGTAATGTGAGGAATAAACAGTTTTGCGCACAAATAGCAAGCCCCAGACATTATATTTAATATTAATATTTACACTTATAAGTGTAGAGGCTGACACAATGCACTTATTTAACCTATAAGAAAAAATTGTCTTGAGAAAAAATAAAAAACTAAATAGGTTTTTCTATGTCTTAATGAGATCTTAACCAGTTTCATATGGAGAAGTTTTTACTTAGCGAGTGAGTTGGTTAATGACTAGTTAGTGACAAAGAGTACTTCCTCTTTTTGATGACCCTTTTAAACTTTCTTTGAACTGTGGAAACTTTAACAGGTGTTCAACACATAGCTTCCACTGTAGTTACTATAATACCTCTAAAGTTACAGCAGGAAATCAAATAAATGTACACGTACTAGATTCAAAAAGCTTCAACAACCCTGAAACAGCAAATGAATCCAAACCATTTATCGTCTTTTACTTGGAACCTATCCCAGCTAGGGGAGGTCACCAGTCTGTCGGCTATCACAAGAGACAAATGAGCATTCATGCTCACATTCACATCTACAGATGTAGCTGACATACATGTCATTGGATTGTGCATAGGAGGAAGCTAGAATACCTGCGAGAACATGGGAACTCCACATGTAATAAATACAACAGAGGATTTAAATCCAGGACCTATTTGCTATTCAGTTCAATTCAATTCAGTTTTATTTATAAAGGGCCAAATCAAAACAACAGCAGTTGCCCCACGGTGCTTTATATTGTAAAGTAAAAACCCTACAATATTCGAGAGAAAACTCCAACATTCAGACAACCCTCTATGAGAAAGCCCATGTCACTTTATAATGCTTGGTACAAAATGATTGTTTGGCTAAGGATAGTACAGATGTGCAAACATCCTCTTGCCAGCTGATACGACTCATTTTGAAGCTGCTGCCAGCTGGATCATGCTAAAGGAATTCAACTCTTCAATTCAGTTTTATTTATACAGCGCCAAATCACAACACTGTTGCCTCAAGGCGCTTTATATTGTAAGGTAGACCCTACAATAATACATACGGAGAAAAGGCCAACCATCACATGACCCCCTATGAGCAAGCACTTTGGTGACAGTGGGAATGAAAAACTCCCTTTTAACAGGAAGAAACCTCCAGCAGAATATTAAATTCCGTTCTTTTGAATTCTTTTGGCGACAGAGAAAGACTGAACTCAGAGTGGTCAAGCTCAAAAAATAATCTTTATTTTACATTTCCGGAAATGGAGACCCGAACACACGAACACACACGCTCAGGTCTGAA